AAATAATCAAATCCAAACAGCGATGCAATAATATCAATGGCAAATATGTACTGGGAATTAGTTATAACTGCCTTTTAAAACATTTGCCAGAGGGTACATGTTCTAAACAGAGAGCAAGAGAGAGGAAGAGAGAGAGAGAAAGCGTCCCCCTCCTCAGTGAGATGTGGCCATGCTGCGATCCCTTCTCTTTTTGTCCATCCTGTGGGGCTTTGAGGCACACACATACATGGGCCTGGAGTATCTTCCAAACTACCAGTACTGGGATTCGAACCATGTGGCTAGATACGTAACATCTGACACCCATAACCACTAGACCAGAGAGTATCCCTTAATTACTTTTTATATCTTAACTCCTTTAACCCTGAGAAAACTCTGTGAGGTAGGTACTCTTGTTAGCCATTCTACAGATGAAGAGACAGAGGCAGAGAGGTTGAGTAACTTGTGCACGATCGCGACGAGTGGGCTGTGTGGTTCCGAAACCCATATTCTTCATCTCTGTCCCTACAACAGGAAACGGAGGAGCATCCCTTAATTACTTTTTATATCTTAACTCCTTTAACCCTGAGAAAACTCTGTGAGGTAGGTACTCTTGTTAGCCATTCTACAGATGAAGAGACAGAGGCAGAGAGGTTGAGTAACTTGTGCACGATCGCGACGAGTGGGCTGTGTGGTTCCGAAACCCATATTCTTCATCTCTGTCCCTACAACAGGAAACGGAAATACAGAGATGGGGTGTGGCTTGCCAGGTCCCTCCACCAGGCAGTAGGGGTGGAGCAGACCTTGACAACTCTACTTCTAGACTCAAGCTCTTTCCTTCACCACACCCCACCCACAGTTCCTCTTTCTACCCAGCCTCCTGCGGGGCCTCCCCAGAGTTAAAGGCAGCCTGGCCTCACTCTTGGCAAGCAGCTCTAGTCCTCACAGATTTCGTCCACATTCCCTGGCTGCTGTCCAGCCCACAGGAGTCGAGACAACAACCAGTGACTGCTAGGCTGAGCAGAGGCTGCTGAGGGGAGGAAGCAGCAAGGAGTCACCAGGTGGAGAGTGACTGTCCAGCGACTCCCAGATGCTGGGCCTCTTGGGGAGCACGACCCTCGTGGGCTGGGTCATAGGTGCCACTGTGGCCATGCTACTGCTGCTGTTGCTGCTGGCCACCTGCCTCTTCCACAGACGGCAGGGCCACGGTGTGGAGAGGAGGAGACGTGCAGCTGCAGGGCGCAACCATCTTGGCCATGTGCCCTTTGTGTTTGACGTGGGCCTTCACCACCACAACCACCATGACCACCACCATGACCACCACGGCCTCCACCACCACGATGACCACCACCATCATGGCCACCATGACTTCCACCACCACGACCACCATGGCTTCCACCACCATGGCTTCCACCACCATGACCACCACGACTCCCATCACCACGACCACCATGACTCCCCACATGATAGCCACAATGACTGCAATGCTGACTAGCTCCTCCACCAACACCCACAACTTCACCTCCAGCTCCACAATGCTCCCTGAGGCTGCTGCTGACACCTGAGGAGGCCAGCTGCTCTCTACCCTGCCATCTGTCACCAGGACAAGTGAACCCGATATTTTGTGGGGAAGGACACATCTCGGGGTGAAGGAGGGACACTGTGACCGGGTCCTGCTTGGGCTTCATTCGTATACTATACTTTTATGTACTGTGGGGGGCGAGAGCTGAGGAACATTGGGTGGCCCTGTAAAGTGCTCACTTTTTGATGCCTTCACCGGAGCCGTGGCATCTGGCAGGCCAGTGCTGGGAGAGGCCCGAGAAGACAGTGGGGGGCTGCACACTCAAGTCATTGGTGCCTTATTACAGGAAAATAAAGAACAGGAGAAACTTCTGTGAACAGGTTCCTGATTGCAACGCGGTGGGAGGGAGGGATGGAGCGCAGGCCCGGGGGAGCTGTGCCCTGAGACCTTCTCTGCCAGTGGCTTGGGGGCTTGGGGGCAGGCTGTGGAGTCGGGAGAAGTGGTGGGCCCTGCCGGAGCTCTGAGGGAGGACTCAGAGTTTGCACGAACCTCTGCCCAGAGAGGAGGCCCTCTGTGCACCAGGGGCGCTCTGGCTTCCTGTGGGTCAGGCCCTTACTCCAGGGCCTTGGAGAGAAGAGGACTGGGGCTGCCCACTGTTCTCTACCTCCGGCACTTCTAGCCCATCTCCGGGGCTGAGCAATTGTCCTCAATCCAGTTTTGAAATGCCGAGCTACTCACGCCTATCTCAGAAGCAGACTGAGCTCTGGGGCCTGTGGCAGCCCCACCCTGCCAGCTGCCTTGAATCCAGAATTTCCTTGGTAATAACTGGGCCAGGGGTTCTCATTCAAGTGTGTCTCCAGCCTGCCTGCCCCTGCAGGAGCCTGAGTGTGCCGGTGGGCTTGAGAGGAAACGGGTGGAGTTCTTTAAACTGGAGGATGTGGGCTGGGGAGGTGTTGAGCTTGCCTCCACTGGGTCTCAGTTCTTTTTTCGCTAAAATGGGAGGGGCAGGGACCAGCAGATGGCATAAGGGTTACTTGCTGGACTCCCACGTGGCTGACTGCAGTTCTAGTCCTGGACCAGAGGCTTGACACTCAGGCTGGGTGCGCATGTATGCGTGCCCAAGATTCCAAGAGGAGAATGGAGAAGGGATTGTGGTGTTGCCATCCCCCCACCCTGGGGAGTGATTTCTTGCTTTCTGTCTCTCTGTGTCTCCACTGAGCACACATGACCTATAGCAAAAATCTCTCTCTTGAAGAAAAAAGGAAGGGGTAACAAACTCCCTCTTGCCAAAGCCCAGAGGCATGTTCCCAAATGCTCTAGAACAGCTGCTGGGATCACAGCAGGAAAGGCGATCTGGTTCTGAGACCTTCGGCCTGTGCCTGTGAGCCGGGTAGACAGTGGAGGGAGACCAGGCTTGAGGCAGGAGAGGCAGTGGGAGGAGCTCCAGAACAGGCCAGAAAGCCTGGGGCCTGTGACTCACTGGGACAGAATGTCCTCTTTGCTTTCTGTTTCTCAGTGGATTCTCTGTAAGGACTGGGGCTGGGGGTTGGAGGGGTGTGGTGGGGAAGTGACGAGGAGAGGGAGGCAAATTCACAAGGATGGCCACACTAGATTCTTGGGGTAGGACAGTGGACATGGGTCCCTGCTCGTTGTTCATTTCATCTCTGCCGTGTCCTTTAAATCCAGCCCGTTCTCGGTCTCTCATGTCTGCCCCAGCAAAGGCCCTGACCACTTCCAGCCCTGGTGCTGCATTTCCATACTGATTTTACAGATGGAGCAAAGAAGGATAAGAGGTCACCCCAAATCTCAGAAATAGAACAGGAAAGCTATATGAGGTGACATTGAAAAGCTCATGGAAAAATGAAATTAAATTACAAGTTTATTTTGGTGCAAAAAAGATTTTTGAAATCCATGTTTTTTTTTTTCTTTTCTTTTCTTTTTTTAATTGCCAAAGGGCATGTGCACTTGTCAGAGAAAGACAGAGACAGAGGAGGAAGGAGAGAGAGAAAGCACCCCTTCAATGGGGTACAATCACACTGTAATTTCTTCTCTTCCATCTCGCCATCCTGCCGAACTACAGTCTGTGGGATCTGACTCCCTTAACCACTGGGCCATGGGGCCAACCCCATAATTTTTTCATAACACTTATCTTCCACAAACTTTTGAAGACCCCCTCCTACAAGGCAGAAGAGAAGAGGGCTGAGCAATTGTCCCTTGTTCCAATTTTGAATACCAAGCCACTCACGCCTCTCCTAAGTGCCCCATGACTACATATACACATAAAGAACAAGCAACAGAAAAGTCAAAGGAACAAATAATTCAACCTGGAACACGGTTCCCTGGCGCCCTCTATCACCCAAATGAGCCGGCTGAGGTTGGGAATGCGATTGGAACCCACATGCACCACACGTGGCTTCATCACGTTTCCTTCTCTGTCTCTGGTTGCCCCAGTGAACACAAACGCCAAGGAGTCTGGCTTCATTCCCGGCCTAAAGCACTCTCCACGTGGGGCAGGAGTCCAGGGCCAGATTGTGTAATCACCTTAGAAAAGGCGAAGACGAGCCAGCAGTGGCGTGGTGGTTAAGGTGCTGGATTCCCACATGGCTGACCGGTTTGAGTTCTGGACCTGGCAGCCTGAAACTCATGCTGGGCATGTGTTTATGGGCCCCAAATCCTAAGAGGAGAATGGAGGAGAAGGGATTGCAGCATGGCCATCCTCCCCCCGGGGGGTGATTTCTTGCTTTCTCTCTCTCTGTCTCTGGTGAGCACACACAACATAGAGCAAAAATCTCTCAAAAAGAAAAAAAGAAAAGAAAAGGAAAAGCTAAAGATTGGGAATACGACAGGGCACCATGTGCTCTGAAAAGCCACTCTCCCATCTGTGTGGAGGCAGCTGCTTGATGCTGGCACTACAGAAAGTCCGTTGGGCCTTGGATAAATTGAGAAGAACCCAGCCTGTGTGATGTTGGGCCAGCCCCTCTCACTTCCTGGCCTTTGCACCCTGATCAAACTGCAGATCAAGTAGTTGCTCTGTGGTCTCGTGGTGCCTGGGAACGGCACTGAGATGGTCGTGAGCCCCCTCCATTTGCTGTCCTAGTTATCGCTACCTAGTTAGCAGCGGGGCCCCAGGTCAGGTCGTTCAAGCTCTGACTTCAGCACTTTGATCTGTGTGATGGAGACAGTGACACCACACAGGCTGTGGAAGACCGTAATGCGTGACTAGCTGTGTCCCTGCTCGCGGTTACTGATCCTCGCCACTCCACTCTCATAATACGGCCAAAGCGGGGCTGACGACCCAGTCCCCTTTCTGGAAGACGTGAGGTGTCAGGGGGTGCTGGGGGTGAAAGAGCTCTGACAGTGAGGGCCAGGCGGAGACCCTTCTGGCAGACTTGCAGTGGCCTGGGCCTGGCTCATTCCCCAGACCCCCCGGTAGGGGGCAGGGCAGGAATGGCATGGGGTGTGTGTGGGGGCGGGGTAAGTGCTGTCACTGAGGGCCTGCAGCTGTGCGGGTCCTGGGCCCTCACTCACAATTGGAGGAAGGGATTCAGGAAGTGCTCACAGCTGCTTGGACATCTCGGAGCTAAGTCCCAAGTAGGACCAAGGCTGCGGCACCCAGGGAGGAGCGTCATGGCCCTGGGGAGGCCATGAGGCCAGGAAGCTGCAGCGCCAGGAACAGCCAAGGCTGGTCCCAGGGAGCCCAGGGTAAGTCTTCACAGCACCTGAGTGTGGGCAGCTGGTCTGAGCAGGCGGCAAAGAGGGCTGGGCGAGGCTGGCCAGCAGGAGGAGGGTTTCTCCCCGCCTCAGGGTGAAGGGGCCCATAGTTTGTTACTGAAGGGGCTGGGACTTCCAGCCAGCACTCCTTGCCCTGTCTAAAAGGCACTCTCTCGACTCATACAGAAAAAGAGGCCAAATATTGTACAACTCTATCCCACCCAGGCCCCCACCCCTCCCCGTGGTGACTGGCAAGCACTGACCCACTCTCCCACCTTGCCCGGAGCTGGCTTTGCCTTCTTCCCCACCTGTGTCTCAGCCCCCAGGACAGGCCAGGGGCTCA